GAGTTGGAGGTTCCTGTGTCGGAGGTCTCGGTGGTCCCGGAGTTGGAGGTTCCTGTGTCGGAGGTCTCGGTGGTCCCGGAGTTGGAGGTTCCTGTGTCAGAGGTTTCGGTGATCCCGGAGTTGGAGGTTCCTGAGTCTGAGGTCTCAGCGGTTCTGGTGGTTCAAGGGTTGACCGCTATCGCCTGCTCCTCGTCTGGGTCATCACCCGTCGCCTCCTCATCTGGGTCGTCACCCGTCTTCTCCTCATCGCCTGGGTTGTCACCCGTCGACTCCTCATCTGGGTCGTCACCCGTCTTCTCCTCATCGCCTGGGTTGTCACCCATCGCCTCCTCATTGCCTCTGTCGCCTCATCACCTGGATTGTCACACGTCGCCTCCTCATCACCTGGGTCGTCACCCCTTGCCTCCTCATCGCCTCTGTTGCCTGCATTCACCGTCACTGGCATTCTGGCTCAGACAACCTCCACCGGCTCCTTGTCTGCTCCCGTCTCCTCCCTGGGCCCCTCGTCTGCTCCCTTCTCCTCCCTGGGCCCCTCGTCTGCTCCCTCCCTGGGCCCCTCATCTGCTCCCGTTTCCTCCCTGGGCCCCTCGTCTGCTCCCGTTTCCTCCCTGGGCTCCACCCCCGTCTTCAGGACTCCCGTGGACCTGGGAGTTTTCCTGAGCCGTCCTCTGGATGTTCTACTCCATGTGGGGTGGTCTCTTGGCCATCCCCCTGATTTTTGTGTGTTTTGTCCTTGAGTCTGTGTTGTCGCATTTTCCCGTGTCTCGTCCATCGCCTCTTTTTGACGTCGGGAGCCGTCGTTAAGGGGAGGGTCCTGTCATGGTCTGTGTTTATTTTCCTTACTTTTCTAGTGTTTTCAGTGTTCCCCTGTGTTTCTCTGCCCTGCAGCCCCGCCCTCTCTCACCTGTGTCCTCTTGTGTCTGCTCCAGGTGTGTCTTGTTGCCCTAATTAGTTTGCCTTTATATTCTGTGTCCTGTCTTCAGTGTTTGTCCGATAATTGTGCTGCTTCCCTCAGCCAGTGAGGTGTCCTGCGTATCCTTCGTGTTCTAGTGAGTTTTGCTGCAGTGTCAGCTGTTATTTTGATTTTCTTAATAAACTCTTATTTTTGCACTTTGGATCCTGCCAGCGCCCTGGGTCATTCTACACATCCTCACAGCCCCTAGACACGCGTCCACCATAGACTTTGCATGCAGCTCCTGCTGCTCAAAATGCGTTCGGCGTGAACTCAGCTTAAGCCTTTGCCTTAGCGACAGCCAGAGCTGGAGCATGCTTGGTCCACCGATAACCCTCAGCTATCTCTGGAGTGTCAGACTCTCTCACCACCACTGGGCTCCAGGTTGTGTTTCAAATATTTAACTTAATCTAAAAATTCTCCAAACAAATACTTTTGTCTTCTATGCTACTTTTAGTTACCCATGGCCCATTCAAACAGTAACTTTTAGTTTAATCTAATTTATAATATACTAAAAAATAGCAAAGTGCAGTAATTCTGTTTGTGTATCTTTATTCTGCAGTGGACTTTGGTGTTTCAGCCCAGATGGACAAAACAGTGGGAAAGAGGAACACTTTTATTGGAACGCCCTATTGGATGGCACCAGAAGTTATCGCCTGCGAAGAAAACCCTTGCAGCAAATATGACTGCAAGGTGATATTTCCTCTCTAACATTCTTTTTGAGATGCCTCACAGTGTTTAGACTCCACCTCCTTCTGAGAACGTATTTTTTCTTCATTGCAGAGTGATATATGGTCACTGGGGATCACAGCGATAGAGATGGCTGAAGGGGTGCCACGTAAGTCCTCATTCCATATGCTACATCTCTTCAGCAAAAAGTGAAAACCATGGTTTAAGATAACTTGTAACTAGATTCAATGGCACACTACGTTTATGCTTTTGAAAAATTTTCAGCATTTAATTGGTCAACTATAATTTGTCACCCTATTTCTCTCTGCTTACCGGCAGCAGCAGTGTTTCACTTTAGTGATCATGTGTTATATGTTTTCATACGATCCATAAGTCTCTCCATGGAGAGAAATATGATTTACGTGTCTTGCTATGCATGTCCTGTGCTATCAGGAAATCCGGGATCACCAAAGGGTGATCCCGGATTTTACAGGCAAATTGTGAACCTGTTTTCATCCAAGCTGATGCTTGAATTAGCCACCCTGTTTTAGCACAGCTTGATTTTGCTCACCCGTTTCAGTGGAGTTTTCTGCCAGTATCGTATTTAAATCCTACTTCTGTGCAAGGAGTCTCAGGCATTTGCAAGACAAAATATTAACGATTAAAAAAAAGACATAGGAAACAAACTGCTCACAGACTGACGTTTTTGGTCTTTTATTTATCATCTTATTCTTAGAGGTGCTCACACACAGTTGTGATCATTAGCTAGGACAGGATTAGTTTTCATTTCAGCACAGTGCAGAAACAGCTCCTAATCTATCATTACATCGTTTAGTCTTTGCTGAACATGACTCAGGTCTAGGAGTATTATTTACTTGACTTGTGATAATAAAACTAGAAGTTTAAATGAAGAAATGTAAAAAATAAAATCTCATGACATGAAATCTTTGTAATAAACATGATTTCATTTTTGGGAAGATGACATTGATAATATTTTACAAAAGAAACTTCACGCTGCTGAGATGAACAGTTGTTGAGATATTTAGCATGTGAAGTAACAGGAAGTGATGTCAAAGGGGAATGAATGTATGAACGTGAACAGCTGACAACACAGACAGGAGAGTATCTGATGATTCCTTAAATTATTTTGTGTCACTATCAGAGAGATGAGGAAGATTCAGAGTTCAAATAATATTGTTTCAATAAACAAAGACCAGGGAGTTCCTTTCTCTAAGAATTCCCCTTTGATGTCATTTCCTGTTTCACTTTGGCTAAGCCAAATTCTAAAGAAAATATGCCAACTGTGTGACAAAATCATGTGTCACCTTTCTTAAACATAAAGATGTTTTCTTTGACTTTTTGTATTTGAAGGATATGCGTGTCACAGGCACTTTAAGGGCCCGGCATACTCGATCTGAAGCCGAACAGTCACCTCCTGGTCACGCAGTGGCATAACGTTTCTTTCTGCACCTTTCGTAGTTCCTGGGAAACACAGATCAGAGCTCCTGGGTAGCCCCTCCTGCTGCTGAACTTGTCAGAGACTAGTTGTGTTTTTATTCCCTGCTGGAGTCTCGACACTGATATCCATTGTTGGGCTACAATTCGGGCACAGACAGAGCGCCACACCTTGTGGCAGATGGATTTCTCCATGCACATTATCTGTTCTCTCTCCATCCAGGAGTTTTTGGCCAGTCATGAGTCATGTAAATGGATGTATTTTCTGACTGCTTCAAGGAGCTGCTCCTCAAAACTATTCATGTTGTTTAGACGCACAACAGTCAGCTTCTGGAAGCAGAGTAGTTGAAGTAAAATGCTACCGTTGTTATCTGAGTGCTTTTACGCACGAGAAAACATGTCCCCAAATTTCTGACCAATCACACAAAACTCTGGTTTGAAAACTTTTGGCCCAGGCCTTGTGTCGAGAAATGAAGCCCAGAAGCTGCTCTGCAGATAAAATAATGCAATTTTCATCTCTCAGCTACGTCAAGGTCCTTTATGGTGACAGTGTAGAAAGAGTTAGCTACGTTAATGTCTTTTGGAGTAGAGCATTCCAGTTATAACATGTGTCAATATGTTGCTTTAAACTTTACCTTTATGAACATTTGTTACATTTATCTAAACTCCCCCTTTTGTTTTCTCTGACTTTTCAGCGCTGTCTGACATGCACCCCATGAGAGCCCTCTTCCTCATTCCACGCAATCCTCCCCCTAAACTAAACGTCAAGTCAAAGTGGTGAGTGTACATGTGTCGTAACAGTTTCGATGTTGGCTGATTATTCGAAGACTACAGCTGTTTCTTTTCCATCAGACTTTTAACTGAACAACGTTTGTTTTGTTTCAGGTCAAATAACTTCCAGACGTTCCTAGAATGTACGCTGATGAAAAACCAGTGTCAGAGACCCAGCACAGAGCAGGTCCTCCAGCATCCGTTCATTAAAGACTTCACTAATGAGAGGGGGGTCCGCACCGAGCTGAAGGAGCACATTGACAGCGTTGCAAAGAGAAAAAGTGAGAACCTATCACCTGCCACCTTTCATACCAGAGTTTTAGGCCATGAATATATTATCTGGAGAAATGAGATCTTTATAGTTGTTTTGGTCAATCTCATGCAGTGTTGTGAGATGCCACTCTAAGAATAAAGGAGTACAGTAATTCTCAGCTACCCACACATCAAATTTTAGCTCGATATCTGGTAAAATAACTGCATTGTAGTCATTTTTGTGTTGCACTCTATCAGAACGTGCAAAGTAATGAGAGAAGTTGTAGTAGTTGATGCATCGCTGAGAACACATTTGGACTGTCGGGCAGAAAACAGTAGTTGAGGCAGCGCTGAGGACACATTGATGAGAACAGGTTTGGACTGGCACAACTGGTGTTTAGGCAGCGATGAGAACAGGTTTGGACTGGCAAAACTGGTGTTTAGGCAGCGATGAGAACAGGTTT